AGCCAGGGACAGACATGGTGCATGTTGCTGAGTGAGCGAGGGAGGCCACTCTCAGAGACACACACTGCCTGGTTCCCACACGGGCATTATGGGAAAGGAGAACAGGAGCACCAGTGGCCAGAGTTGGGGATGGAGTGATGCTGGGGGGAGGGGGGATGTCTGGACAGTAATGGGATCTAGGGTGGTGCTCGATGGTGGGCATAGAACTTCATTCGCCTGGCAAACCTCACAGAATGTGTGACCCCAAGAGTGGCCCTAAGAGTGGCCCTAAGGTAATCCCAGGCCTCAGTTATTTTAATAAACCTATCTTGCTGGTGCCGGTTGTTAATGACAGGGAAGCTACACGGGGGCATGGGGACTCCACACACTCCTGATGGAATCTATTCATAGATTTTTGTCTTTCTGAGATGTGGTCTCAAGCATCCCAGGCTGACCTCCGCCTTCCTATGTAGCTGAGGGTGACTCTGCACACCTGAGCCTCCTGCTTCCACATCCTGAGTAATGGGATTACAAGCGTATGCCACCATATTTGGCTTGCTTGTTTTTTGAGGGGAGGGGAAGCTCTGGGGGTTAGTACCCAGGGCCTCACAGATGCTGACCAAATGCTCTGTGACTGAGCTACCTGAGCTATACCCCACCCCCAGCTGCCCAGTGTGATTCTTCTGTAAGCCTAAAACTGACTCCCTATTGACCCCCAAACCTCCGATAGACCCTGGATCCGGCCTCGCCTCCTTCCCAGGCCTCCCCTGACCCACCTTCTGTACTTGATGGTTCCTCTCCCTTCACATGCCTCTTGTGTGACACCCACGCTCCCTCCGGAACTCAGGAGCATAAATAAGGCGGATCTCAGAATAATTGGATATTGTATTTGAGTTCTTATTGTTAAGTTTGAGTTCTTGCTTAACAACAAGTCTCTTTTTTTATTAGAACTGTACCCAACAAACCAAATGTGCCCAACATATTCATGGGCTGCGGAGGGAGTTATTTACTGGGCTGTCTGCAGACCGCCTTCATTTGTACTGGGTAATTTGCGTACCTCTCGCCCAGAACCCCACTCCCTCAATTCTCCCAGGGAATCGATCACGCATCATGATTCATTGTGTGACAGCTAGACACGGACTCTCAATCATCAAATAAGCCCTCTCCAAATCACAGAGCTCCACACAGAATCCAAGTGTCCACATACCTAATTAGGCCGTGTGGGACAGGGCTCCCCAGACGTGTGGGTGGGAGCAGAGCCTCTCAAAAATTATAAGAAACTCACCTCGAGGTTGCGCCCACTGCTGTGGGCAGCTGGGAGCATCGAAGGCCCAAACCCCATGACTTAGTAATGGGATCCTATGGGAGAGGCCCAGATGTTCACAGGGGCTCTGCAAGATCAGGCAGGTAGATGTACTATTGTTCAGAAAGCCTTCTGAAGTGTCACAACACACTTCCAGATTTGTTAGCCAGCCTTCTTTTCTCTCACCTAAGCGTGCCTCAAATTCAGAAACCCACAGTACTGGACTAAGTTCCCCTGGAGCTGTCAGTGTGGCAGCCCTTCCAAGGGCTTGGAACTGCCATCTGTCTGACCTCAGAGGTCCTACCTGGCAGAGAGGAGTCAGAGGAGGGCTCCACCCCGAGATGAGCCTTCAGCTTTCCAGACCTCACATTGTTTCTTAATGAAATTTACATCTGCAACTGCTGCTGCCAAGGGACTGTACGGATGTAATGAAGTGAGCTGCTTCGAAACTAACGGCTATAGAAAAGAGTGTGTTTAATCTTATGTGTATGAGTGGGTTTCCAACATGTATGTAAGTACACCATGAGCATGCAGTGCCCGTGGAGGCCAGACCTGGATCCCCCGGAACTTGGGTTATGGACGGTTGTGAGCCACCATGTAGGTGCTGGGAACCGAACCGAGGACTTCTGAAAGAACAGCACTGAGCCATCTCTCTGGCCTCAGGCTGTAAGGGCTTAAGTGGCAAGTCATATTCCACTAGGATTAGATTCTTTCTCATGCATCACTCAATCCAGAATGACGGCTGCTCCAACTCTGCCCGCCCCCCGCACCCCCCAACCACCAGCACAGCTGACTCTGGGTTGCCGAGCTGAGGCCGGTATTGTTGGAGTTTCAGAAGAAAGCTGACTTTGACTGTGCACAAGGCACAAAGGTGTCAGGTATGCAGCCGTGTTCTGCTGTGCAGGGAGTGGCTCTGAAAGTCACCAAACCCAGCTTGGGGGTTCTGAAAGATCGAGAGGGACAGGCAACGTTTGTCAGAGCCAGACGAGGCAAGCACCCGACCCCTCTGGAATCCAAGCACAGGAGAGGCCTGGGAAGATGTCTCAGTTGGTAAAGTGCTTGCTATGCAAGCATGAGGATCTCCACTCAGATTCCCCAAATCTACAGAAAAAGTCAGGCATGGGGGCGGGGAGGGGGGACGTTGTGGTGCACGCCTTTAATCCCAGCACTCGGGAGGCAGAGGCAGGCAGATCTCTGTGAGATTGAGGCCAGCCTGGTCTACATAATGAGTTCCAGGCCAGCTGGGGTTACAGGGAGACCCTGTCTCAAAAATTAAATTAAGTTAAATTAAATTTTAAAAAGCCAGGCGTGGTGACATATATTTGTGATTCCAGTGCAGGGGACACAGAGATAGGTGGATCCCCAGGCCTCCCCAGTCAACCAGCCTAGCCTAACTGAAGAGTCCAAAGCTAGTGTCTCAAAGAAAGAAAAAAGGTGAGCTGCTTCCACGGAACATCACACAAGCATGTCTTCTGGCCTCCACACAAACGTGCACACACATGCACCCCCCGCCCTCCCCCCAATATTTTAAAACTATAAATAACGATTTTTATAAAGTCTAAAACCACACCAAAACAAGCCCCCAAGCCCTCCCTTAGGGATGCTGTTCATTGTTGGCTGAGGCAGGAAAGGGTCTCTGGAAGCAGGGAGGCCCACTTGCATCTATGGCGTGCACCCTCCACCCACAGTCCTCTTGGTCCTGCCTTTTCTGATGACCCTCAAACAGCTGTCCTTGACCATGCACATTCGCTGTGCTGGGGTCCACGCAGCAGATCCAGATTCTGACTATAGCCATGAATATACACTGTCCCTCAGCACCCATGGGGGACGCAGTCCAGGGCCCCGGGACACCTAAGGACACGCAAACCCTGACTTTTAACCATCTCTAGACCAGCCTGAGAGCGTCAGCTACAGTGAAATACTCTGCAGCTTTTAAATGTTTCATAAGGTGGGACAAAAGCCTGTGCATGTTCCGTGTTCAGGACAGACACCGGCTTTTTCTGAGTATTTGAATCAGGGGCTATGAGACCTGAAGGTACAGGACCAACTGTGTTCCAAGAACATAATCATAACCACTAATAATAATCACTCGCAGCTCCCTGTTCCAGGGTTCAGGGTCCCGTGCTCAATGTGGGGAGGGGGCTAAGCACCGCCTCCTCCGAGTCACTCTAATTATCCACTCTGTACCCATCATTACCGCAGCTTCTGCTCTAACTCCTGGCGGGGCAAAGCACAGCTGCCACAGCCCGGCTCTGCTTCGGAAGTGACTGCGTGCCACTTCTGGGGGCCAAGCTGGGGACCACAGCAAGACTAGAGGGGCACATACTGCCAGGCCCAATCTCTCACAGAATCCTCTAGAAACAGCCACTGTGAATCCAGAACAGAGAATGGGATCTGAGCTCATCATGACAGAGCTCAACCTTAGGAAAGAATGCAAGTCAGGGACCCCCAAGACACCCCAGATGTGATGAAGGTAACCTGTGAGAGCCCGAAGCCTCAAGGTCACACTTGGGAATCCACAGGTCCCCAGACTTTCTGGGTGATGGGGATGGAACCCAGGGCTTTCCTGAGCGCTATCACTGAGCTACATCTCCAGTTCAGTTCTTGTATTTGTTTAAAAGATGGAGTCTTGCTATGCAGCCCAGACTGGCACTGAACTTTCACTCCTCCTGCCTCCGCCTCCTGAGTGCCAGGAGGAGAGGGGAGAGGGGAGACGGCGGGGGTGGGGAGGAAGGGAGGGAGGTGAGAAGAGAGGAGAGGGGAGAGGGGGAGAGAGGAAGGAGAGAGGAGAGCAGACAGGGAGGGAGGGAGGGAGGAAGGAGAAAAGAGAGAGAGGAAGGAGGGAAGGAGGGAGGAGAGAGAAGAAAGGAGAGAGGGAGGGAGGGAGAACCCTACTGGCAAGTTTAAACATCTTCTGGCCCAGGATCATGTACCAGACCAAATGGATCCAAGATTCAGAGGCAATCTCCCCATCTATCCAAGAGCCTCCCAACAACTGCCTAGCCCCCTCAGCTGTTCCCATGGACAGAGTGCTCATCCAGGTAGCTGTGCTCCACCCAGTAAAACCAGGAGGAACTAGACAACATGGGGAGGGCACTTTGGGTTCTCCTCACTGGGGGTGCCACTGGTATCTAGTGGGTAGAAGCCACAGGTACTGCTGAGCATCCCACAATGTCCAGGACCCCCACAGCAAAGAACAATCAGATTGAGTGGGGTTGAGACACCTGGCTCCCCTCAGGCAGCCTCCAGAGCCTGTGCCAAGGTTTCGCCCAAGATTTCACACCTAAGGAATTCAGCGTCGGGCAGGGGGCGCAAGACATATGTGCATCTGCCTGTGTGAAGGAAGCATTCCCCAGACAGAGGGAGAGACCCTCACACACTGCAGCATTGGTGAACACAGCCCTGCCAGCATGGGGGCTCTGCTGGGGGCCCAGAGCCAGCAGGCAACAGCCCCACACGCACATGGCATGCTCTCACTCTTCCTCAACACTCACACACTGAACACCTACTACGTGCATGCACTGAGTTGGAGGCTCGGAGAGCACAGGGTACAACACAGGCCTGAAGACTGGAAGTGACAGGAACAAGGAGCTAATTCAGAGCCCAAGTCAAACCCAGGACAACATGAGCACCATGTGATTCATGTATAACCTGGACCCCCAGACGGCTGCACACTTCATTAGAGTCCAGTGAAAGCCTTTGTCCGGCAGCCACCAACCTCCAGTCTCCAGATCATGGAAATTGGGATCCAGGCCTCGGTCCAGCAACTTGACCAGTTTCTCCACCGAGCGATGCTGAGTGTGGTCCATGAATTTCTTCAGATTGGTCTGGAAGGAAGAAGCGTAAAGTGGACATGTCTTTGTAAGAAAAGTCTTTCCAGAGACTGGGGATGTAGCTCAGCTGAGAGAGCTGAGCATGCATGAGACTCAGGGTTCGATCCCCAGTGCTGTATAAACTGGGTGTGGTGGTGCATGTCTGAATTCCTAGCACTTAGGGAGGTGGAGGCAGGAGGATCAGGAGTTTAAGGTCATTCTCAGATGCAGGGTGAGTTCAAGGCCAGTCTGTGCTACATGAGACCGTCTCAAAAAAGAAAAGAAACACAAAATTGTTATAAGCGAGAGAAGGGTACCCACTAGGAGGTATTGGCCCCTCTGTGTAGGGCACTGCTGACCCTAGGGCTCACATGGGGCCAAGCTCTGGATGGATGTCTCCGGAACCCCAGCCTCTCACCTCCTCTGTGCCACAGTCTTACACAATACAGTGTAATCCCAGGATAACGGCACTGGAGGGGCTCTGGGTCATGAGGGTAGAGGCCTGTTGAGTGTATTCATAGCCTTCTAGAAGAAGCTCTGGAGAGCCCCTACCACCACTGAGAGCCATGACATGGGCCAGACACTCAATCTTCTGGTAGCATGACCTCAGACACCCAAAGTGTCCGGAGCTGCAAGAACGCAAGTCTGTGATTTTAAGTTGAAATAGCCATAGGACCCAACACCACGTTACTGAGAGCAGTAGGTGCTCCCACATGGAGAGAAGGACAGGTCACCTAGAGTTCCTGGAACACACCAAGACGTCCCACCATCTCTGCTTCCTGTTTCCCTTTGGAGATGTGGGCTCTCAGCTCTCTGCTCAGCTGCCTCCTGCCGCCACGCCTCCCCTGCCATTCTGGACTCTCCCTCTGGAACCGTAAGCCAAAATAAACCCTTTCTTCTGTAAGTTGCCTTGTCCATGGCATTTATCACAGCAACAGCAAAGTAAATAATGCAGAAGTTGGTTCCGGAGAGTCAGCTGTTGGCTGTGAAGAACCTGACCATCTTGTTACTGCTTTTGAGGAATGTGGAGGACTTTAGAAGTCTGGACTAGAAAAGCAGTTCAATGCTGTAAGCAGAGATGGACAGATGGTTCTAATAGAGGGGTCTGCTCAGGAGGTTTCAGAGGGAGAAGGAAGCAAGGACTCAAACAGAAACTGGATTAGAGGCCATTCCTGTGATATGTTGGCAAAGAATCTGGCTGCCTTCTGCCCTTGTCCTAAGAACTTTCCTAAGGCAAAACTAAAACGCGATGGACTCATTTCTTTGAAGGAGAAAATTTTAAAACAGCTTAATGTTGAATCTGTGGCTTGGTTGTGACTGGTAAAGCAAGTGGGGCAAAAATTAATACAAAACGTACAGGTTGGAGGGGGAAAGAGCTTTGGAAGGTTAATGTTCCAGCCGAAGCGCGCTGGAAAAGAGGTTGTAATGGTTAAGGAGATTGGCACCATTAAGGAGAGGCCTTGGGTTCTACACTGGGATGGTGGGAAGGGTGCCCTCAGGGCAAGAGCCCACCCAGCTAAGCTTCCAACATGTGAGAGAAAGCCAAGGGGTTTTCTGCTCCTAGGAAACCATAGCCTACAAAATCTGCGGCAAAGTGACTCAAGGGAGCGAGGGTTCTCGCCAAGCTGGCAGTGGAACTTGGCAGTGTTGTTCATGTGCTATGACCTTTGAAGGCATGAAAGACGCAAGAGTAAGAGGGCCATGGATTCTTCCTCTGAGGTTTCAGAGAACCAACAAGCCCACGCAACGCATAGCGGGGAAGTTCCTGTGTGAGAGGCAAAGCTGTGGAGATGCCAGAGTCATGAGACATCTTCCAGGGACCCTGCATGCAAGGAGTGGAACTGACCCGAGAGAGAGACGCCTGCTGTGGGTAGCAAAGCTGGAGGGGCAAAGCCATCTAAGCCTTGGGAACTAAAGCCCCAGACACTGGGCATGGAGCCACAGAATTTGATGTTTGCCCTGCTGGTTTGGGGTCTTGTTTTAGTCTGGTAGTCCTCACTATGTCCCCATTCCTCCCTTTTGGAATAGGAATGTATACTGTGTGCCAGTGTATGTTAGAAGTATGTAATTTGTCTTTTTTAGTTTAGAGGAGGTTACAGTTACAGAGAATAATGGGTTTCAGAAGAGACTTTGGACTTTTGAACAGTGTCGAGACTGTTAAAGGCTATGGGGACTTTTTAACTGGACTAAATGCAGTTTTCATTACGATACGTCCATGAGCCTACAAGGGCCTGGGGGTGGAATGTGGTAGTTTGAATGAGAAATGTCCCCCATAAGCTCAAATGGTTGAACACTCAGTCCCCAGTTGGTGGTGGTGTTTGTGGAGTTTACAAGGTGCAGCCTCCCTGGAGGAAGTGTGTGGCTGAGGGAAAGTTTTGAGAGTCCATAACCTTATCCCACTTCCTGTTCCTTCCCTGGCTCCTGTCTGCCCTTGGAGATGGGAGTTCTCAGCTGATGGTGTTGCCGCCTGCCGTCAGGGGTTAAGCACGAGTAAGTCTTTCTTTTGTAAGTTGCTTTGATCGTACTGTTGCATCAGAGCGACAGGAAAGTCACTAACACCGAAGTTGGTCTCATCTCGGAGGTGGCTGTTGGGGGAGGACGTAGGTCCAATGGGGTGCAATGGTCCTCCCGAGGAATCCCCTTCCCACGAATCCCAGGGACACCAGGGCAGAGACAGTGAAACCTGCCATTAGGGACACCAAGTCCAGGGTGAAGAGGACATTCATTCCTTAGATCATACAGATTGGTCACTGAGCCCCAGCCTTCCCCAAGCCTGACTGCCTCTTCTGTTAGAAGAGATGGCTTCCCCCTCAGAGAGATGGTTTTCCCCTCAGGGAGACGGCTTCCCCTCAGCAGAGACAAGCTTCCCCCTCAGCAGGCAGCCAGGCTACAGGACCAGGATGAGTCTGGCATGGCTCACAGGCTTTGCCCTCATCCTGCTTTGTGGAGTTACTAAAACATAGGCCAGGCGACACCTGTGATTTTTCAGCCCATGATGCTCCTGGGCCTTCTAGGCACCTGCCACGGCCTGGATTTCCATCCAAACATCATCTTACATGACAGGATTTGAACACATGCCCTAAAACACAGGGAACGTGGCGTGTCACTTAAAATCCTGGCTCTCTACTTATGGATGTTTCTTTAAATTCACACATACCTTTGTATCTACACATCAAATAATAATAATCGGGTTCAACCTTGAAACTTAGGGTCAACCTTGCCCAGGTGAATTCCAGTGCTGAGGTGGAAAATACAGGAAGAGCCTAGAACATTCTAGGCCAGAAAGTGGCTGGGGTGTCAAGGGCAGCAGGGACCTGCCAAAGGGTCAGGGGGCCAAGTGATAGGGGGCTGTTGGCCACCTCTGGATAACTTAGGCACAAGAATTAAAACCGGGTATTGGTCAGGAAGGCCCCAGAGGTCCCCAAATAATGCAGGATCTTGTCATTTTCTTGGTTGTACACCCAAACTGGATAATAAGATCCTATTGCCGAAGGGCCCGCACACCCTTGGTTGGCTGATACACAGAAATCAAGCTGGAACTGAGCAGAAAGTCTCCTCCATGGTGGTTGGTTTTCACAGTGCTCTAAGGAGCCATGCAGGCTGCTGAGGGAGAGAAAGGCATCAGTGGTCTTGCCCAGCTGTGACCCCTGTGAAAGATACCAGCCTGCCAGGCAAGATGTGTCCACTTGTGCAGTCGTGGCATGGCAGCTATGGGGTTAACCAACCACTCTCTGCTTGGACCTGAGGCCTGCTCTACAAGAGGGAACCCAAGCCTGATACTGTAAAGCAGTAAAAAACCCCTGGCCGGGGATGTCATAGGCCCTAGAGAGGAGATGCTGCTCTTTTGTTAAATTGACCCAACATCAAACGGCCCTTTCAGCACGTGCTTATTCCTGCAGGCAAATGCTGCTCTTGGCCTTGATCAGAGAAGACACTTGTCAGTGACTGCAGACTCCTACCTGCACCAGTACTGAGAACAAGTGACAGATGACGGCTCAGGACTAAACGAAGCATGTAAACCGTCCCCGCTAAGGCTCAGGGAACACTGGAAAAAGAGCCGGAAAGAAGGTTAAGAGCCAGAAGGTAGAGAGAGGGGCAGAAAAATGTCATTTCCTGGTCAAGACGTGGCCATTGCAGCCAGGAACTCACGGCAGCTGCGTAGGCCTGCACCAGGTCTACACAAGAATGGGCCCCTCAGCAGTCAGGCATGGATGAAGGGAGGGGCCCGACCCCTCACTACTGAGCCATTTCCTACTATTAGATGCAGGGAGAGATGGTCTTCAGTCATGTACCCACTGGTGAGCCCACCAGTGCTCCCACCAGGCTCCAGTGGACAGTTCCTGTCCAACCGTCACAGACCCTGGTTAAACTAACAGATGACCCTGGTTAAACTAAAGGGTCACAAAACCAAAGTCATGAATCTGGGAAAGGGATGGGTAGGGAGGAGAGGACGTTGGTAGGGATGGGGAGAGATATGAGCAGAAGGGGAAAGTAATCAGAATGTGTTGCATACATTTGACAGTATGAAACTGTCAAACAATTAATTTAATTAATTAAAATAATCCTAGAACTTGGGAGGCGGAGGCAGGCAAATCTCTATGAGATGGAGGCCAGCCTGATCTACATAGTGAGTTCCAGGCCAGCTGAGGCTACAGGGAGACCCTGTCTCAATAAGACAAAAAAAAAGAAAAAAAAAAAAACAAAAAACCAAACAAAACACATTGAGTAGTCCGTGGGTCGTGAAAGCCCTGTGTGTGCTCGCAGCAGGAGAGCTCAGAGTGTCTCAGGGGCATCTGAGGGGTGACAGTGTCCACCGTCACCACCTCGTGTTCCCCAGGGTCCACCCACGTGCCCCAGGATCCCAACCTCTGGCTCCAAGCATCCTCTCAGCTCACACAGCCTTGAGAGTAAGCTGTCTATGGCTTTACCATCACCCCTCAGGTGCATGGCACAGGGACCCACAGGTCACTCGGTGGGCATGAAGCCCTCCAGGAAGTGCAGCCCTCTCCTCCCTCCCGCCTCTTGCACTTCCTGCCCTGGTGGTGGTCACACCAGCACTGCGTAAAGTCTGTAGACAGTGCGCAGCGTGGGGTCCCCCCCCAACCTCACCATGAGTACATCCAAATCCCGCTGTGATGGCTGCTGCCTGTCCACCTCCCTGGGGCACCCAGGAGGATGGCAAACCCCATCCCCATACCTCAGGCTAGGTCTCTGGCAGCACCACCCACCTGCATGCCCCAGCCTTCCTTCTCCCAAACAGTACCCACGGGCTGCTCCAGAGGCAGGATTAAAGCTTCTGGGGGAGCAGAGGAAGCGCTGTGCCCTGCGTACCTTTGTGTGGAGTCTGGCAAGCTGCTTTTCATCCAGGCTGGACTGCTTATACACGCGCTTCTTGTAGCGAAACTGCCATGGCAACAGGAAAAAAGATGTCAGGTGAGTTAATGCCAGATGTGGGTGTTTAGAGAAAGAGACCCTGTCTCTGGTGACCTCACCGAGGACAGGAAACTCAAATGTTAATGAAGACGCTGGTGTCTGTGCCACAGAGTCCTCGGCCCCCTAAGCACTGCAGCACTTAGTGCTGTCAGGACACAGGGTCCACTCTCAGCCCTGGAAGCCAGTCCCAGGTTGTAGCTTCTCCTCAGTTGGTACAGAGGGTGGGGTGGTCTGACACACCTCCACCAAAGTCATGACCTCATCCTGCGGGCTCAGCATCCTCGAGAATCTACCCACCCTCAGAATCTCTGGGGCATAACTGGAATTTAGCCAGGAAGCTTGTCTCACAACAGGCCCCTGGCGATACCTTCCCTGACTTCACAGCCAGGAATCTGAGCCTCAGAGAGGCTGGTGTGTCATTCAAGGCTGCAGTCCTTCTGGGATGGGGCCAGATCACCCATAGGTGCACAGACTTCTGGTCTCATTCTGTGTTACTGGTATCATGTAAATCACCAGCTCTAGGGCATGACCTGGGCTTAGACCTTGTTCCTGACTAGTCACCACCTCCATGTGACCAGAAATTGGCTTTCTGGGCATTGCCATATGTAACCAGGGAAGAGTCTGGAATGGGGTAGTGACAGGACTGTGAAATAGTGTCCCTGTGGCTTTAAAAATATGCTTGGTGAACTAAGTTGAACTTGGGGCACATGTGTCTGGAGAGCCTTGTGTCTCATGAGAAAGTTTATGCAAGAACGCTTGCTGGGGAGATGTCTCTGGGATGCCGGGGCTCCCCTCCTGTTTCTCATGAAACATGTTGACCTCCTAAGTAGACACAGCGTGGAGATAATGTGGCTGTGCTCATCTTATTTTGCTGAATTGTTATGGTCTTGCCGTGTTATTACTACTCAGTGGTTCTCACGAGGATGAGACCCCATGTTACTGTTCAGTTCTGTAGATGTGTGACCGTAACCAGGAGAATAAAAGCGGGCTGCAGTGCTACACGCACTGGCACGTGAAGAAGCCACACGGGTCCCCTGGTTACTGACTCAGCTCTGTGATCATCCATTAGGTCCCACAGGTGGCCGCCCCTGGGGAGCCACAGGGGCTCCAGACCAGACCATGAAGGAATTTTCCAACAGAGATCCGTTGCTTCATGCCTGTTTCTAAGAGCTTCTGTGATGGTCCTTCTTACTAACTTGATTTGTTTGGAATCAACTAAAAGGCCCCCTCTGGGTGGGTTCGTGGTCTCCTGGAAGGGTTAACTGAGAGATGAGACACTCCCCCGGAGTGGGAGGCACCTTCCAGCAGCAGCCCACCTAAGGAGGTCCGAGGGAAGACCGTCTCTTTGGGGTTGCCAGTCTTCGCATCTTATGGGTGAGGGCACTGGCATCCTTTGCTCACACTGGACCCCACTTTCTTCAGCTTTCCAGTGCAGATTGCAGGCCAGCAGCTCTCCAGGAACCTTCTGGGCCTTTTGATGGGGACGGCTGAGGCATCCAGTCTCATGGCAACTACTGGGCTCTCAGCCTCTCCAATGTGCAGAGGGCCATTGTTAGACTATGCAGACCCTGTTGTGTAAGCCAATCCAATAAACCCCTTTTGTAAATATAAATTCATTCTATCAACTCTGTTTCTCTAGAGAACCTTGATTAATTACATGGGCTTTCCCTCACATCCATGCTCCAACTTGCTGCACATGAACGGCTCCACGTGGGTTGCAGAAAACACTGTGTGTAAGCGTGGTGTGCAGCAAGTCACTAAAGGGAGTGTGAAGTCATATGTCAGACCACTCCATCCTGTGCACCAACCAAGGAGAGCCTGGTGAGGGACTGGCTTGAGCCCACCCTGCGTCCTGAGAGCTACATGCCCACAGTCACCCTCCTGACCACAGCAAGGACCTGATTCAGGGAACCTCCTGTGGGCTAACAGTATCTCCTGTGTGATAGTGAGATGACCCTTGACCCCAGGAGCATCAGGAAAGCCTGAGATGTGGGGTTATAATTTCAGGCTCACCCCTGACCTCCAGGGAAGACAGAAGGGATGGCTGGACATGAGACTGATGACTTAGTCGTGGTCACAGAAGGAATCTTCCAGGAAAATCCCTAACCAACCAAGTTTGGAGTGCTCCTAAGTGGGTCAACACATCCTCAATTCCAGGAGGTGGTGGATGAATTTGAATCACGAGTTTGGACCAGAGTTCAGTTCCCGGCACCCACATGGGGACTTACAACTGCCTGTAACTCCAGTTCCAGGGGATCTGATGGCCTTATTGCATTCACACATGCACATACAAACACACAATTCAGACACACATCCATACTCACATAAACAACAAAATATTTTTATTTTATGTGTATGAGTGTATTGCCTGTATGTATGTAATGCACCCGTGTCATGTAATGCCTGTGGAGTTCAGAAGGGGGTGTTAGATACCCTGGAACTGGAGTTATAGGTGGTTGTTAACCACCATGTAGATGTTGGGAATTGAACCAGGTCCTCTGCAAGAGCAGTCAGTGCTGCCCTTAACCGCTGACCCATTTCTCCAGCCCCCAATAAAATAAATCTTAAAAGAAAAAACCAAGCTTGGATCCCCAAACCCCTAAAAACGGATAGATGTGGCAGCCTGCCTGCGATCCCAGTGCTTGGAAAACTGAGACGGGGACCCTGGAGCAAGCTGGCTAGCTAGACCGTGGCATTCAGTTGAGAGACCTTGCCTCAGTGAGTAAGGTGGAAACCACCAATGTCAGCCTCAGACACCCACACGAATATGTGGATACATACATGTGAACACATACACAGGTCCACCACAATCCTGAATAAAAACTGGCAACTTACAGTAAAGTTGGGTACAGCCAGGCCCCAAATGAAATCTTTAAAAATATTTTATTATTTTTATTTTATGTGTACGAGTGTGTTGTCTGCATGTAAGTGTGGGTGCACTTGTGTCATGCAATGCTGTGGAGGTCAGAAGAGGGCTTCAGATTCCCCTGGAGCTGCAGTTAAGGACGGTTCGTAGCTGCCATGTGGGTGCTGGGAATCAAACCCTGGTCCTCTGCCAGAGCAGTCAGTGCTCTTAACCACTGAGCCATCTCTCCAGCCCCTTATTTTTTTTTACTTTTATTTTTTTAATTATTTATTTAATAACCACATAATTAGAAGAAGCATTTAATGAAATTTTTAATTGGGGGTGGGTGGGTAATTTTCCAATCCCAAACAACCTGGACGCCTGGTTAAGACGCCACCTTCGATACACACTCAGTGGCACAGCACCAGCCCTCACTAGTTACCTCCAAGGAAGGCACCCCCTGGCCCGTGGGCTGTGGGTACTCTCTCAGCAGCCGCTCCTCATCCAGGAACTTGCCATCGCGCCCGTTGCTGGCAGGCTGGAAGAGCCCGTAGTTGAGGACATCCTTCAGCCCCTGGTTCAGCGTGCACAGGATCCTCTGCTTGGCCACCCATACCGTGGCGTCGGGGTTAAAGCGAATGCACTTCTGCAGAGGGGAGCAGAAACGTGGATCAGGGATGCGGGAGGTCACCAGAGCTCCCCACGGGACACAGGGCCAAAAGGGACCCCGAGCTTACATCTCTACAGCTAGGTGTTCTCAGTTTGGGACAAACTGGCTACAAAGTAAATCAAAGCTTACGTTTGCCTCTTAGACAGAGACATCTAAGAAAAGAAAAACAAATCCACCAGAGCTGGGGGCTGCTCAGTGGGTAAAAGTGCCTGCCAAGCCAGAGTGAAGGTCGGAGCTTGATTCCTAGAACTCACATAAGAAGCTGTGTGTCTTGTTCTCTAAAACTTTGCCAGTTGTGGCCTTCTGTGTGCATCGCACTTTGTTGTGTGAGGAAACCTCACCAGTGAGCATCAAGGGATGCATTGGTATCCTTTCTAACCCCTTCTGATCACTACTGGGTGAGAGAGCAGATCTTCTTTAAGGAAGTGACTCTAGATAAGGTGACTAGACTCCAGTGGATGAACTTGCACCGAGGGAAATATGGGTACAAATGCTTGACTGGATAGGACTTAACATACATGTCAGAATGCATAAAATCCAGTGGTGGGGGAGGCACTGGCAGGGGCACAGGCAGGAAAGGGGGTCTAAGTTTGATTAAGATCTATTGTATGAAATGCACAAAAACTCAATAAAAATATTTTTTTTAAAAACCAGTGCACGGTGGTGCGCACTTGTAATCCTGGCAGAGGGGAGGCTGGGACAGGCAGATTCCTGTCGTAGCTTAATCGTCAAGTTCTAGGCCAGGGAGAGACTCTATCTCAAAGAGGAAAGGTGGACACACACACACACGTGTACACACACGGGTGCCCACCAGCACACTCAGGTGCACCGTGGTAGACAACACACATTGAGAATCCCAGCTAAGTGCTGCTGTCCCTAAGCTAGTGTCCTGTCGAACACCACGCACAACCTCCCACACTGTCTTAGGCCTGTTCAGTCTTTTGATCTCGAAACATGACCTTGTCTTCTACAGAGTTCATGTTTGAGAACTGTGCGACTGAGTTACAAAAATATCTCAGGGGAGAAAAAAAATCTCATAACGTTTCAAGTACATTTAGGATTTTGCTACCTGGGGTACATGTGGCCTGTGGGGCAAGGCTTTGTGTCTAAGACGTAATAGATACAGTGTACACATGGTGCAAAAGTCACACTGCATCCTCTGGAGAACAATAATGATAAAGATGATGATAAAGCCAGTGTGCAAGTGGTTCTCATCCCACCCATGTGGAACCCCAGCCGCAGGGAGCCTACTGTCTGACAGCATAACTTGAGGTGTACGTGGCTTGCTCTCCGTAACCCAGGTGTGGAGGATGCCTTGTCTGACAAGCTCACAGATGGGAGGTCTACTGCACGCGAGTCTTCATCCCACCCGTGTGCTGAGGTTTTTTTAAATATTTTATTTATTAATTTCAGTGTATGAGTGTATTGCCTGCGTGTATGTGAGTGCACCTGTGTCATGCAACACTGCAGAGGTCAGAAGAGGGCTTCAGATTCCCCCGGAACTAGAGATAAGGACAGTTTGCAGCCACCACGTGGGTGCTGGGAATCGAACCGGGGTCCTCTGCAAGAGCAGTCAGTGCTCTTAACCGCTGAGCCATCTCTCCAGTCCCGACTCTGAGTTTTTAAAACTGCGTGTACCAGAGGCTGGGGAGGTGGCTCAGTGGGTGAAGCACTTGCTGGACAAGTGTGAGAACCAGGGTTCAGATCCCCAGACCACACGGGTGATTGTTAGTCTGTCATCTTGGCACAAATTTAGAGTCACCTAGGGAAAGGGAACCTCAGTTGGGGAATTTCCTCCATCAGATTGACCTGTGTCCGTGTCTGGGGGGCATTTTCTTAACTGCTAATTGATGTAGGAGGGTCCAGCTCACTGTGGACCTGGGTTGTATAAGAAAGATAGCTGAGCAAGCCAGAGGGAGCAAGCCAGTCAGCAGCCTTCCTTCGTGGTCTCTGCTTCCTTCCTGCCTCCAGGTTCCTGCCCTGACTTCCTGCCCTGGCTTCCATCGATGCGGAACTGTGACCTGGAAGTGGAAATGAACCCTTTCCTCCCCAAGTTGCTTTTGGTCAGTGTTTTATCACAGCCACAGAAACCAAGCCTGGACACCACTTAAATGCTGGGTGGGCGAGGCAGTCCGCCTGCCATTCTGACCTCAGGAGTCAGAGACAGGGTTGCCTAGGGCAAACTGGCTAGCAAGACAGACATATCCACAAGCTCTGGGTTTGATTGAGCAACCTTCCTCATTGAATAAGGTGGACGAGTGATGGAGGGTGATTCTTGACATCCATTTCCAGCCTCAACACGTGCACATGATAAGGAGAGGGTCTATCCTCAGGACCAAACAGTGTTCTTCTAGAATGTCCTGAGCTTCCGCCACTCGAGGTTTCCTCCTATTTCACTTTCTAGGTAGAGATCTTGAAAAGCAACACAGTGATGTTTTCTCTGCCCTGAGACGTGTTATTCTGTAATATCTTGAAGCTCTGTGATGGTTTCCACTTACCGTGTCTAACCACCGATAAAAGACATGAAAGTAAGAAACTGGAAAGTTCACCAGATGGGTTAATGAAGCACCTGGTTCAATCAGTCCAAGACAAGTGTAGATCAAACATGGCAGATAGCTGAACTGTTGATGACATCGACTTGTTTTAAACTGCAATGACCGTTTGACCGATTCTGAACCCAATTAGCCTGGCCTAGCTGTAGATCAGAAGGCAGATGTCCTGACTCATGCCTGGTGGAGTGAACTCAGGAAGGAATTTTCCTGAGATAACATGGCCCATCATGAAGACAGGCATAGGGCCCAGGAGTCAGTCATAAGATGATGATGTAAAAATGCCTGTTTCAGGGCTGGAGAGATGGCTCAGCAGTTAAGAACACTTGCTGCTCTTGCAGAGGACCCAGGTTCAATTCCCAGCACCCACATGGAGGCTAACAACTATCCATAACTCCAGTTCCAGGGGATTCAACACCTTCTTCTGACCATGGGGATTGTAAGACACAGGTGCACTTATATCCACGCAAGCAATAAACTCATACACATAAAATAAAAATAATAAAATATTTTTTGATGCCTATTTAACCCTATCTGTGCTTCTGCTCAGGACCTAGAAAATCTTGAAGCCTTGGTTGCTGATTCTGGGATCTTGTGCACGGAAATGAATAAATGAGGTTATGACTCTCCCCTGGGTGAATTCTTGATCTCTTAGCTATTCGAAGTATTTTTTCCATAACACACACACACAGGTGTGTACATACACCCCACACATGTGCCCATACATATATAAACATGCACACCAGATATACATATATGTAAATGTAAGATTTAAAAAAGCCAAACCCTGCACCAGCCAGGAGGGTGAGGGGCGGAGGGCAGTGACAGGAAGCTATTTGAGAGGAAACATCAAACCAGTTCCAGGAAGAGCTCAATTCTGAACACGTGAAGCATCACCTGCAGCCACTGAGCCCATCACCTACATTTCAGAAACATCGAGAACTAGAGTAAGAGGAGGCTGGTCACGTTCCCCGAGCCTTCCGTGAGACTCCCTGGTGAGCCAAGGGGATGCCAAGGCCAGGCCAAGCCCTTGTCTAACCAAGACTTCTCATTTTCGCTAAGTTAAAATTATTTTCTGCTGTCCAGTCATCAGCAGGGTGCAGGAATGTGCTTTCCCACCGCAAAGGCACCCAGGGAGGCTGAGGGCGGCTGACACCGAGGCTGGGTTCTGTCCGCAGCAGGTGGAGTCTGTGTGAGCTGAGGGCTCAGGAGGCGCTTCTGCCTCTGTGAGCGAGCGAGCGGCTGAGCGAGGTAAGTGAGCTCTGGCTCGGCGACTACAACCCCCACCAGGGAGGCCGACACCTAGCACATGAATGCTCCCACTGGCCCCTCTTAGATGGCAGCGGCCGAGTTCTGTGTGACCCTCTGACCTTCCTGGGCTACAGCACAAGGCCCTGTGGGACCAGTTGCTCCTTCCAGGGAGGAGCCACATGGGCCCCCGCTCCATCAGGGGTGGGCGGGAATGCTCTGTGATCTTGACACGACAAAAGCAAGATATGAGATACAGCCTGTGGGGTGCTGGCAACGTGCCACCTCCGGTTCAGGAATCATTGCCAGCCTCGGGTTACAAAAGGGAAGCTCCACGCCAGGTTCCCTTACACACCCACATCGCACAGGGCCTTGCCTGCCCTACCTGCAGCTGACAGGAAACACCTGCCAACTGGCAAGTGCCAGGGGGCCCAGGGCTCTAGGTCACCTCTCAGAGGACTTGGATGCCATTGTGAGTGACACAAAGACCGAGCGCTGTCATTTGGTGGGCAGGGCAGTGACGGCAAGAACCAACCCTGCAAAACAAAACAGGCTTCTTCGACAAACACCAGGAGCACCCCATGGAGAAACTTCTAGAAGGAGCAGGATCTCAGAGGTCAGGGAGGCCTGGGCCTGCCACACGCTTGCTGGGAAGACCTACCAAGCTGAGGCCCTGCCTCTTCCTCAAGAGGCTGGGCCTCACTTCGCCCACCAGGCCGGAAAGATGATTCGGCTGTGAATAACCCAGCTGAACTATGTACGGCCTGAGTAGACAGTGAAGCCCCAACCCCCTTATGCTGGGGGTGTGACGTACTTGGTGAAGGGGTCTTTGCAGACATGGGCGGTTAGGGGACACTGTGCTGGATAAAGGTGGGCATACATGATGACCTTGACCTTGTAGAAATGAGAAACACGGACACCGCCACAGGTGTGTAGGGTGGAAGTCTCGGGAAGATTGTCAGGGTGAGGCTTCCGCAAGCCAAGAAACGTGACGGTCTCCCAAAAAGTTCCAGGACTGGAGAGAGGCCAGGACAGGGCCTTCTTCACAGCATCCTGAAGGACCAGACCTGCTGGCACCTTGATCCTGGACTTCTAGCCTCAGAGATTTGACACAGCACAGCCGGTGGTTTAACCATACAACCTGGGGTCCGTCACAGCAGCCTGCGGAAGCGACAAGCA